ATGGTGGGACAACTTGCCCGACTATCAGATGCATCTTTTCCTGCGCGAGGCGACTGAGCATTCCCTCGCCGTAGCTCGAATCAGCACTACTGGATCCCCGGACGAGTTACTGCGCTTGATGCCCCGGATTGCAGATTTGGTCAACAGAATCCGGCAATGGCATCCGAATATATCCACGGTTCCCGCAGAGTTTGTCAGCTCCATTCAGCACTTCAATGGCATCTGGAAGGTCGGCATGCTGTGTTTTGTGTACAGCGAGATATATGCTCTCGGACCCAACGACGATCTGATCAAGGACTTGGTGCAGTCTTCTATGGAGCCGCTGGACAAACTGTCCTGGCTTCAGGCTTGTTTGTTCCCCCTGTTCATGATTGCCCTGCATGCTCGCACCGAGCAAGCACGCTCAAGGTTTGAGGCGAAGTTGACTGAGATGCACACAGTCTTGGAATTTCAGGGGCCACTATCCGTGATATCAATCCTCAGAGCGATATGGCAACAAACGAGTGCCACTCACGAGGGTAGGGTACAATGGAGGGAGGTCGTCAGGGACCTAGGAGCGGAGATTAACGTTTTACTTTGATGCGCTGATTGTCGACCATGCTTCTGTGACGCTGAACATGTGGAAGATTGCAGCCACTTTGGACACTTCCTTGAAAAGTCTAAATGTAGGCCTCAACTGCTCTTGCTTTTGACTTTTGTCGCTGATAGTGCGTTCTCATGGGTGCTGTTTTTTTGATATAAATATGTAGATCAATCAAAATAAATTCAGAGGCTGTCAGTGCAACTCACTCCACATACACCGGACTGGCCGCCCGCATATGAGCGGTGAATAAAGATTGCTACTTCACAGGTCAAATTATCAACATGGAATATCCAGGCTACCTGAGCAACCAAATCACGCAGATTCGAAATTACCTGCCAAGCCAAAGCATCTGCATGTTTATTGGTCTGCAATAGAGTTTATATAAATGCTTATCAGTGGCAAAGGCATCATAGTTCAACCTTTCCTTTCTTGTCCCTAATATGCTATCAAGATATCTTATCTGTCATGATAGGAACTGGAAAGCCAAAATCAAACGCCGACATCCTTTCAGTCCAAAGTAGCGAGCGAGAGGACTAGACAAGTCTTTCCTTCTTAAAAGCCAGACGCATAATGCTATGGGTCCTTGCAACATTCAAGCGAATCTGCGAACAAACTTAACATATCATCTTCGCTATGTCGATACAACCTGAATCACATTCACCCCACATATTTGGCCTCTGGAGTGCGATCGGTCTAGGGTGGCTGACCCTCAATGTCTTTGGGACCCTTTCATTTATCATCGTTGTGGGGCTACCAGCCGGCGGTGTCCCGGTGATACTTTACGGATTGTACGTACAATACCACCGTACCACGGTGCATGCCAGAGAGACATCTTGACGCTCTATGGCTTTCGCATCTGACTGTCATGTGGACAGCATTGGCTCCAATCTCGCGGTGATCTGCATGGTGATGACCTTCGCCCAGTGTGCATCAAGGTTCTCTACTGCAGGTAAGCAGCACATCATTACCTCAACATATATGTACTACGCGGCTTCAGAGCAGCTCATGTAAGACCAGGCGGCGCCTATCACTACGCATGTTTTCTGATCCCTCTAAAACACCGCCGCCAAATAGCGTATCCTCTCGGCTGGTTGAACTATCTCGGTTGGATTTTCACCCATGCGGGCGCGTGCGCAATTGTTGCTACCTTGACGCTAGGGCTAGTCAAATTGTGCAACCCGGAGATTGACATATCGCCTCGCTGGAAGCTCTTTGTCGTCTACATCTCCATTAACACCTTATGCTGGCTGTTCAATCTCGTGGCTGTCCGCGGTATTCCGACGCTGGAACTCCTGGGCTGTTAGTCTCACAAGCAATCTGACCTATGTAAAGCCCCGAGTAGGGTAGTATGACTGACGTGATGTCTACAGGCTATGCGACGGCCTTTGGATTTGTGGCTTATACAATCGCTCTACTGGTCAAGGCCCCCAAGGCTGATTCGAAATCTGTGTTTGTTCAGGTCATCGATGAGACGGGGTAAGCAAGGCATCCATGGTGCTTCCACATGTGCCCCAGGGGACAAGAAATGTTAAGGTCTTATCTGCTGACCAAAAAAAAAAAAAGATATCATTCGCACGGCTTCGCGATTCTGCTCGGGCTGGTAAATAGCTTCGGAACCATGATGGGGTTGGATGGGCCAGCTCATCTTGCAGAGGAACTGCCCCGCCCGAAAATCCTACTCCCGCGAATAATGATGATTGTTATTCTTTCTCAGTTCGTCGTCGGGCTGGTGTGGATCATCGTCTTGGGATTCTCTATTACTGACGTGTCCGCTATCACAAGTAGCGCCACAGGGTATGCTGGATTTCTTTCCTTCCCCCTCCACCCCCAGTTCACTTAAGGTACATCACTGCTGATCGCAAGCATGCAGAGTGCCTGTGCTGGAGATTATCCGACTCGGAACCGGAAGTAATGCAGCCGCCATCGCGTTTTGTCTGATTTTGATTATCAACAATGCCACCTCGGCTCTGGGCAGTGCGGTGACCATGAGCCGACAGGGCTATGCGTTCGCCCGAGACGGTGGCTTATTTTGGAATGCTCGGTAGGCCCGATGGAATTCTTGGGATTGGCAAAAAGCACCTGATGTCGGAGCCCTAACAGATAATGCGCTGCGCTAGGCTTACAAAACGTTCATCGAATTCCCACCTGCCATTTTGGTCGATTACCCTGCCGTCCCTGGTTTGTGCTCTTGTCGGATTGATGTACGTATCATTGGAAGATATCCTTCCCTCTCGCTGTCGCAGTGGGGTGCCTGATCTGACACGAAGTCCAGCTATCTCTTTTCCAGCTCCGCCTACAACGCCTTCGTCGGATCGCAAATTACCTGTATGATCATCAGCTTCGGTATGATATTTAACACCCTTTGGAAGCCCCAACGACGTATGAAAGACGCTAACGGTCTGATGGTGCAGGCTCTCCGGCCCTGATTCTTCTTATCACCAGAGGCCAACTGCTACCTGCATGTGATCGATGGAACTTTGGGGTCTGGTCCACCCCGATCTACCTCGTTTCGGTGCTATACTCGGTCCTGGTTGTCGTTGTTTCCGTCGTGAGTCTGATTTCCGGGACTATCCCAACCCCGGTACTTCGATACTTGCCCCGATATATTGACAATGGGTGCAGCTCCCTCAATCCCACCCCGTGACTACCTCGAATATGAATTACACGGCTCTGGTGATGGTCTGCTTGGCATTCGCGATGGTACTTGCGTGGGTATTGGAAGGGCGCAGATTATTTTCGCCTCCGACAAATGACGTTGTGTTGACCGGAATTATCCCAGCATTGAGCGCGATGGAGCCGGATTCTGAGGCAGGTGAAGCGAAGGTTTCTTCGCTGATTAAACAACCGGGATTTGAAAAAGGGGTATCTATCACTCCCGTAGCGATATGATATAATCTGCTGATTCAGCTACAAGCACCTTGACCTTCTGCCAGGATCATGATGAACTTGACTCGTATATGCAGGTTTTCCGGCGTAGACCGGTCTGAATAAGTGCTTATGTTTTCAAAATCAATTCCACGCAGAAGATATAGCTGTTGGCCTCCAAAATATAGACTCAACTCCTCTACAACCTCTGGTGTCTCTACTTGTACATCCTTGTACATCAGAGACTTGGGGAAAATAGGTATTCTAACACGGTTAGATAAGGTATGTAAGTCTAGGTGTGGATTCCTCCATGAAAGTTGTGTGAAAGTACATGTATAAGTAGCTAATCTAACTTGGTGGAGCAAAAGGCGCGACCAAGTTGGGTCTAGAGCGGAAAAATGGAAGTGGCTACATTATTAACCCAAGTCCCATTCCGTCCTAGGTGTAAGCACTAAATACCTCCAAGGAGGATGAATCTAGTTTAGGCTCCAAGTGAGGGTCTTCTAGGCATCCTTTGTGTGGATCGGGATGAGACCCTTTATCGTCCCGCCACCACCCGATCCCTCCAGAATAAAAGGCCACATCGCGCCCCTCAAAAAGAAAACAAAAAACAACCCATGAACAAAAAGTCATATCTTCATCCAGTGTGTTCGACTTCGACACTCTCCCCTCTTACAGTAATCGCAAATGGCCACTCTTCCAACTATCTCCAAGGCCATCGCGGTGCTATTCCTGGCCTCATGGACCGCAACCGCTCTGGCCTTTGCGGCCCTGGACGCGCTCAACTCCGACCAGGGCATGCTTAGCCTGATCGTCCCCACAAGCCTTCTTACGTTCCTCATCTGTCGCCTGTTTATCGCATCGCAGCCATCTGCCAATTTGGGGACTGTAAACCCCACGGTCGCATACATTATAACCGCCGCGCACCATCACTCACCGCGCAACGCGCTCCTCCTGCTCCTGTTTACCCTCTCCTGGCTCTACGAGCTACTCTTCAAATGCGTCGGCATGTTCATCGTAACGCTCGTCGGCGGCTTTCTTTTCACGGCAATCCACAACGACGCCTTCGTGGAGAAGAATGGTACCGCAAGCGAGATGCAGGACGTCAGCGAACTTGAGTCCACGATGTCGGCGGGGTTGAACGGCTTCCAGGAGAAGACCGGGGTCGATCCCACGCAGATCGTCAAGGCGATCCCCCCGCGCGCGCTGCTCTACCTTGTTCTTCTGGTGTGGGTCAATCTGGCGACCTTGGGGCTCTATATCTTGCGGCTGGCTTGGAAGTCGTTGATGACGGTGCTGGGGGGTCCGATTGTCGCTCCTGCGGTGGCTGATGAGAAAAAGGTAGAATAGGGGGCTCGGGGTTGTAATCAGAGCGATACGTCAATTGGACGGCTTTTGGTATTGATATCTCATATGATACTAATCCGTGTACTTATGAATGTTCCACCCAGGCGGGGACCAGATAGAAGACATACTGCTTTCCCATTGACCTATACCCAAGGGTGTCTTTTAGTGAGGACAAGCACCCACAAACTGAAAGACAGTCGCCTCCTCAATCGTCCTCACCCGCTCCGTCAGCGAAGCTCGCCTTCAGGTAACTGATCGCGTAGTACCAATTCCCGTTCCACAAGACAAACATACTCGGCAGCCCCCGCGGAACCGGCATCAAAGCCCAATCATCGTGATCCGCAGGCTCTTCGCTGAAGCCGAGTCAATACCACTCCTCGCACGTATCACACGCAGTCCGGATGGTATGGTCGAGCCATTCTCCCTCCAGGTAATCCGCCAGACCCATCGTCACAACCAGGTATCCCCCTTCGTTCGAACGGATTCGGGTCTAGGAAGACAGCTGGAATCGAGCTCCATAGTTGTACGGCCACCTCGGAAGGCCAGCTCGCCTCCGAAGTTTTGCGCGTCCCCGGAGTTGCGGAAGCCGCTGTTGATGGCATAGAGAACGAAGCTGGTATCAGGTTGGTAGAGATCTATTCCGTCGGCCGAAATGAAGACTTGCTCAAGACTACTTGTAGGCGGAGTCAATGGTCGGGCCGTTGCGTTGCAGTTGTTGTTAATGGCGGTGATGGTAGTAGTGGTGTCGGAAGTATGAGTCACTTGATCGTCTCCCGGATTGAGCTGGACGTGCAGCGCCTCGCTGATATCTGTCGTCCACTGTCCGTCCTTCGAGAGATCATTCTGTGTCCCAGGCTGACAAACATAGAAGACATCGTCTTTGTAGTCCGGATGACCTTAAAGCTTTCCAATGTATGTTTTATTGTAGAAGATTCGGGTCTCGTCGGTCGAGAGGTGGAATATGCCACCCTTCCAGTGATGGTCGCGTTCCAGTATGAACCGGCTATTCTCATAGTGGACGGTGAGGTATCTTCCAGGTGCTCATGTTCCAAGAGAGGCTGTTCATATGGCCTGGATGCCATAGTGAACATGCTGCACATTCTGGAGGATGTACGCAGTTGAGAATTGGGTCCCGGGCACCTGTTCATGCTATGCTGCATTGCGGTGCCTCGTCGAACTTTGAACTTAGACTACATCACCTAGTCTCGGATGAAAGTCTAATCATGGTATTCCTGAGCAATAAGAGACACTTTCAATCTAGGCTAAGATAAGAAGGAAGGAATTGAGGCGCTTATCTGAGCCAAGCCACCCTACCAGTATCATCACCGATCCAGAACGGACGCGCCTTCGAGCAACTCCAGGTATTTACTTCGAATCTGCTCGCAAACACCCCAGATCCTCCGTCGATTGGCCAACCCAAAGACATAGTCGTCATTTTCAGACGTGTATCGGCTTTTATGATCAATGTTGAGCAGCAGCTCTGAAGCCCGAGATTCCGCCGCCTGGGATTGGAAAACGTTGTAGTCCGCAATTTCCCACAGCCACGGCACCTCGCATTCCAACTTCTGCCTCCAAAGTCTGGCAGTCAAGGGGGTCGCATGCATCACGGCAGAAGCAGCCTTCACAGAAAGGATCGAGCCAGCTGGCAGGGCTCTGAAAATCTCAAGACGAAGCTCAATGGGCAGTCGACTGAATATATCCTGTCTCGGAGGCCATGCCTTCGCCATCGACTCATTACCCTTCCCGCGAAACTTGGCGATCTGGCTGAGTTGAGCATCCAATTCGGGGATCTTGACCGGGTTCACCATCAGGACCTCACAAACCTTAGCCGATGATCTCTAACGCACGATCGCAAACAGGGTTGTGGCGGTAACTTACCTCTTCGCCCTTGGTGGCTTCCCAGTATTGTTCTTCCGGCGGATCGGGTGCTCCGTAGTCCACGTCCAGCCTGACGTAGCCCTCATCCTGCAAAGCCTCAAATGCGTTAAAGAGAACTTCGCGTTGGAGCTGCCTGGACACTTTCCACAGACATCGCAGAAGAATTTCCTCGTAGCAGATGGAATGGAAAGGGAAGACATGTGGGGCCTCCTCGTCGTTATAATCCTGATATCTATGGGTGTGTTTTAGAGCGGGTCTGGGTAAGTCAACACCGGAAGCTTACGCAACTAGATTGATTTCCTCTTGAGGTTCCAGATCAGGGCGCTCCATGACAAGGTTGAGATCTGGAGAGAGCATAAATTAACCCGGGCCAGGTTGATCGCCGGAAGGCCTACCATTTCCGGTGGCAGCATCTATACACCCCTGATCTGGAAGGTTAGCCGGTAGTAGACTGATTCTCGGATGGGTATTGTGATTGTAGCCTTACCATGCCAGAGTAACGACCGAGACCAGTTAAGTACGATCTAGCACTAGTAAGAACACATGTCGCTTGCAGTGTGAAGTGGGAGACAACGGTAGCGCACTTATCGGTTGCGGGTGAGTCCGCATTGATCCCTAGGGCACGGACTTCATCGAGCCATTTCAAGCTGGAGTTTTTGAGGATCTCGTAGCGGTAACGATTCCCCTCGGTTCCTTCCGGGTCAATATCCACCCGGCTGGAAAAAGGGGCCCCGCAAATCGCACAGTAGATATCCCACTCTCCCATTCTTAGTTGGTGCTTGAAGTGCGAATCTTGATCATCAATTGAGTTTGCTAGGGAAAACCCTCGCATAAGGGGAAGAGGGTGGGGAAAGAAAGGGTAGGGAGATTTATAGAACTTGTCATAAAGCGAGATTCCAGGCAGAAACTACTGGGTGCCTAGAAGGAAATACTAGTGAAGTTGTTTGTCACGTTTGCATTTATTTGGCATGTGAAGTTTGGGATCCGGTGCGGCAACGTGACTTGCGGAAAAAGGGCCCTATTGCACAACTGCATCTGTGATGATTATGGGTGGTTACACGGTCGATTTCTGGAAAGCGATAAGGAAAAGATCAGATGTATGTATGTATGCCTATTGTGTTGGAACATAAAGGCGGGGAGGGCAAAAAGAGAACAGATGTGCTCTCACGCGGATTCGAACCGCGGACCTCATGATTACTAGTCATGCGCTCTACCAACTGAGCCATAAGAGCCTCTTTGTTGAGGAGGTATCAGCACAAAAAAATATATACGTCATTTGCTTTAGCAGACTCACTTGGAAATTGACCTTCATCAATACCGCTAGCTGTCCTGCAAGTGGATCGGTAGTACTCAGTAACTCTATCAAATTGGATGGTTTTTCTCATTGTCCAACTCAGAACAGGTTCAGTTAGATGAAGGCTCATCAAGACTGTCCCTTCTCGTAAGCGTGTTGTTGAAGCGGCAAGATGGATGTTTGTATATAATAGGATGGTACTGCTCCTGGGCTTGCACTACGCCAAAACCACCCAACCAATTTCAGTGAGCTTGATGTTCAGCTAATCCCAAGCTTTCACACTCCTCAAATCACGTAGGAACCACTCATTAATTCTGCAACAATAATATAATTGGAAGGTATCGTACTCAATCACAAATTTTTCCAAAAGGGTCACTCGATTGAACCTGCACCAGCAAGTAAATGCGGATACCAGGGCAATAAACCCGGATATAGAAATTGCTTCAACTATAGAATGATCAAGGGTCCTGCAGAGTTGGCTAATCTTTTTAATACAGTACAGTCTAAGCACCCGCGTTGAGGTCTCTCTTATAGAGTAGGAGGTCCTAGCTCCTTCCACACAAATGCGGTGGTCCCACGAACGAATTCTGGATTGTTATGGCCAATGCTAAGATTTCTGCTACCCATGCTATCTCACCGAGCGACCTTACTTATACCCCGATTAGAATCTTTATTAGAGGACCATCCCGTGGGCGATAAAGTCGCTCTGCCCTCGTAACAGGGGTCTTGATAGTGCTGACAGCTTCCTCGATGTGTTCGAGGTAAAATCAGTCGTGGCTCCATTGAATCAGATGCAATGAACTTGTACTCTTCATTACTGGAATACATGCTCTCGGATTCTTGACTCAATTGCACCTTCACTCCCAAACATGGTACGTGGTGGAGAAAAGAGCCCCATTTAACAGTACATGACCTCATCGTACCTTCTAGGGATTGCCATCCTTCAACTAGTACGACACTGAGCATTCCCTCCTTACCAAGTAGGGGTGAAAAGCGACAGACCCTTTCGAAACGACTGAGCAAGAATTGACATACTAATGTAATCCTCAATGCTCAGGGTCATAGGTGAAAAAGGTGCTGCCTGGCAGTGACTTACTACAGTGTCGTAGTATCGAGCAACAAACCATCCATCTAAACGGATGGTCATTCCGGAAGGATCGAGTTACCATCTTGATTTTTGATTGATGCCTGGCAACTTGGACCCACTCGGGAAGGGTCTCCGGAAACTTGTGGAGATGGTGGAGTTCGATCACTGCCGCCATCCAAGCAAAGGGTCTATCTTATCTTCTTGGCGAGTTGGCTCCGCTCGTCAGGCAACCATCTTTTATCTGTTAGAAAACTGGATTTTGACCCCTTTCGGAAACAACCTAAACTCCTTTATTTCAAGGGAGCTTCATACAGTATCTTAGTGCTGATGCAGGAACCAAAATGGGTAGATCATTGGCGAGATCCGAGCTACGAGATGGGGCTCTTTTGGGGGCTTAGACGTGAGACTTGACCAACCATCGCCCATATCCTTCCTATGCAGTGGTATACTATGCAACATAACCAGAAGTATCGATGTATCCTACATCTTATATAAACCCCTTGCTTCCACCTCCATCCCATTCTCATCGATCAAACCTCAACATCAGACCAGCCACCCAGCAAATTCTCAAACCATCCTCAACACAGACACAATGCCTTGCAACGTCATCAACAACCCTAGCTTCGAGACCGGCGCTCTCGACGGATGGTACGCTTCCGCTGGAAACGTCGCCAACATCGTACAGGGCACCATCGCGCACGCTGGCAAATACTACCTGTAACAACTCCCTCCCTCATTTCATCCCCAACTCCCATCCCATCTAACCCTCCCGCCTCACAAACCTTAGGGATGTCACCGGCACGGAAAAAGTCCCACAAGTCTCCGTCGCCCAGGACCTGTACTGGCTCGACGACGAGAATGAGCACAACCTCACCCTGTGGGTCCGCGTGGCCGACCCCATCCCCAGCACCGGCCACTGCGAAGTCAGCGCCTATCTCGGCGAGGACCCCCAGGCGGGTGCCATTGCCTCCGACTTCATCTGGCACGCCGACGAGTGGATCCAGCTGACTGGATCCATTCACCCCCCGGCGCGGGATTTGACCCTGCACTTTGTCGGCTCTTGCGTTGACGCTGGGAAGGAGGTCCCCGCGCATATCCTGTTCGATGACGTGGTCCTGAGTGACTGCTAAATGTGGCTATGGATTGGCGGGTAGAGTGCCACAGAATGTTGAACATGATCGGATTTTTCCGCGTTCTGGATATACTGTATGCAGGGTGTACTGTACATAGTCGGTGGAAGAGAGGAAGCACCAATAGTCCCGCTGCATATCAGTCCGTGTGATGCTCACCCCTAATAATCCTATTCATTGGCGCTCAAAGTGTATATTATTCTAGGGTGGATGACGCAACAAAGCTTCTCCTCTTTCTCCTATTCGGTGGCCCTTTCATGAAGTTTCTTATAGACACATTTTATCCCGTTCCAAAAGCTAGAGGACACGTCTGCCTTCCGATTAAAAGTTAACGGGAGGCCTGTAAGCATACCCAACGACGAAACAAGCGCCGCCTGTGATCAGGATAGGGCACGACTATTATTCACTAATCAATGACATGTCTGTTTGAAATTTGTATTGTTAGATATTGTACTGTACTTCTTCTGTTTAACTTTAATTATACCGCCTAGGCAAATAAATAGCAGTGGTATCAAACAAGGCTATGGCTGTCATTATAGTTCCCCTTTTATGTCGCCACTATCTAAGCTTCCCTCAAGCTTCGCCCTCAACCACGGAATATCCTCCAACCCGTACCGATACGCCCGAAACAACGCATTCGACTCCCCTGGAAACAACCGCGCCGTCGCCGCATCGGGATACGGCGCGAAGTGGGGATTGACATACTCCCAGCAAATCTCGCCCTCGCGCGTGACCTCAAACACCCGGCCAAAAGCACTCTCGCACAGCAGCGTGTTCCCGTTCCCCAACCGCTGGGCACTGCCCATGAAGGGCGTGAAGAAGGCGATCGGCTGGGAGCGATCACGGTACTCCCAGACAATCTGCTTCGTGGCACGGTCGATCTCGATGGCGCGGGAGTAGGTGATCGACTCGCCGGTGCGGAAGGCCCCGTTGTCGAAGATGAGGATGTTGCCGTTGTCCAGCTCGGTGGCGTTGTGCTGCTGCGCCAGGGTCTCGGGCCCCAGGTGCCAGACGATGGCGCCGGTGGCCTTCTCGATGATGATCACCGCGGACACGGAGCGCAGCGAGGCCAGGATATGTCGCCCGTCGCGCAGGGGCAGCACCGAGTTGATGAGTGGGTAGTGCTCGCGGGTGTAGTGCGGCTGCAGGGGGAACTCTGCCGCGCGGGGCAGCAGGTGCTCTGAGACGTTCCACTGCCACACCAGCTGTCCGGTCGCGTCGACTTCCTTGATCGTGTCCGCGTACGTCAGGCCGTCGATCTCGCTGCCGGGAACGCCGCCGAGCACCTGCGCTGCTTGCGCGGCGGACAGCGGTTCGAGACCCGTGTAGAGCAGGCGCCCGTCGCCGTAGTGGTATTGGTCATGGTGAGCGAGGGGGTCAGTGAATTGGCGCACGATGGTGCCCTCCGGGCTGAGCTCGCTCATGATGCCCCCGCCGTACTTGTTGAAGAAGGGGAAGGGGAATGGGCCGCCGTCGTGTGTGGTTTGGTTGGGTTCGGGGCGCAGCGTGTTGACGGCTAGGTTGCCGTTGGGGAGGACTCGCGCGTGGCGGCCGATTCGACCGGGGAGCTTCCAGGTGTGTACCTCTTTGCCATCGATGTCAACGAGGTGCGCTCGGTCGCTGGTGAGAGGGCAGAAGAGTGTGTAGCCTCCGAAAGACCGTTGCTTGTCGACTCCGATGAGACCAACGCCTCGTCTTTTCAGGGTATTTTGCTCCATTGTTGGGAAGGTGAGAACGTGAAGGTCTGTTGACGAAGGTGATGCTGCATAGAGGCGAAAGCTGAAAGGGTTGGAAATCAGTTTCTTAAATGAACAGTATTGACGTTGACTGGGTGTCGGGTGCCTGCATAAACAAGATGCCGCGGGCCGGCGGCTTGCCGGCGGGATGCCGCCGGCATCGGATCCCTCCGCATATCTGCTACAGTGATACTCATTCTGATATCAGAACATGGCTTTATCACCTCATCTCTCAACCTATCCCACGCAGGGATTCAATCAGTACTGAAGGGAGCAAGTACAGGATAAAAATGGAGGGATATCGTCTCAAGCATGCTGGGAGGCATTGCTATGCTCCAATCGATCTCTGATGCCAGTATGACTGCCTCAACCAAGTCGATGTCTTTAGTGCCTGCTTCAAAGGAGACCTACTCCCATCAACCGGACGCACATATTGATGAACTTATCAACATTCCCGGGTATGACCCGGACCTTCAGCCCACAGCTGGAGAAACCCGCAAGGCCAAGATGAAGGCCGACTTGTGCATCCTCCCTTTCATCGTGGTCTGCTTCTGCTTTCTGCAGTTCGACCGCACGAACATCGGCAATGCGTTGACAGATACGCTGCGGGCTGATATCAATGTGAGCAACTCGGCGATCAACATGGCCCAGACCCTGTTCACTGTGGGCTTCATCATCACCGAGTTGCCTTTCAACGTTATCAGTCGATACATAGGCCCCGAAAGATTCTTGCCCATCACAATGCTTCTCTGGGGCGTTGCCACATGGTCCCAGATCTTCATCAAGAGTGAGTCGGGGCTGATCGCCGCCCGATTCTTCATCGGAGCCCTCGAAGGCGGGTATATTCCCGGATTCGCCCTCTATATCTCGCGGTACTATACCCACCAGGAGCTTGCGCTGCGATATGCAATATTCTGGGCTTCGAATAGCTTTGCTGGCATTCTTGGCGGCCCTCTTTCGATTGGACTCCTCTCACTAGGCGGTCGACACGGGCTTCACGGGTGGCAGTGGCTTTTTTTGATCGGTGAGTTATTCGTTCGAGTCCACCCCCAAACAGGCCGACTGACAATAAAGCAGAGGGCCTCATTACATGCTTCCTAGGTATTGTGGCATACCTATACCTCCCACACAGCCCCATCCGCCCTAAGACCTTCTTTCGCCGATCCTACAACATCTTCACTACTCGCGAGGCCTCTACCCTCATCACCCGGGTGCTCAACGACGACCGCACCAAGGCACAACAAGCACAAGGGCGTCACCAGCGGCAGTCTATCACACTCTCTGATGTGCACAGCACCTTCACCGATTGGCGCCTCTACGGACACCTGGTCGCCGCTTTCTTGTCGATGCTGATGATCTCCCCGATGAACACCTACGCGCCCTCTATCATCAAGAGCCTCGGGTTTACCAGCCTGCAAGCCAATGGTCTCAACTCTGTCGGTAGCGCTGGCGCATTGCTCCTGTCCATAACGTTGGCATACAGTAGTGACCGGTCGCAGGAGCGTGGGCTCCACATTGCCATCGGGTATCTTTGGGGCGCGGCGGGGCTGTTGTGGTTGGCATTGGCGCCGGATTCTAGTGGAAAATGGTTGCTCTATGGTATGTGCGTTTTCTTCTTTGTGCTCCTCTGTCTGATTGATGTATTCTTTTCTTTTTCCTTTCTTGGACCTATTCTTTTACCCATAACGGACACTGATAGCGAGCACTAGGGGGGGTCGTGTGGACACAGATGGGGATGGGCTGCGCCCAAGCGATCAGCGCCGCCTGGCTGACGACCAAGATGCCGGAGCGGAAGCGGCCGGTGGCACTGGCGGCGTATGTCATGAGTATCCAGCTGGCGAATCTGCCCGGCAATCAATTGTTCCGATCGCAGGGTATGTTTCCGTGATTGTTTGTGGCTCTCTTATGGTTCTTGAAGGCTGACAAAACTAAACAGACGCACCACGGTATACTCGTGGGCTTATCATTGCCGCCTCTTGCGCAATCGGAGCAGCCGTCATCATTTTGCTTTGGAAAGTGCTCTATCGCGTGTTCGATCATGAGGATAACCCAGCTGAAAAAGAGCAGGCAGGGCCTTACGATCCAAAGCGCGAGGGAGGATTAACTAGGAGAGAAATGACACAGGGCGGATGTTAACTGGAAATGTAGCCATCTAATGATCTGTGTTGAATACTAGGCTATTCGTCATGCCTTTATTCGCTAAGGAGCCTCTCGAAAGCAAAAATGTCTTTGTACTCGTGTATTAGATTGCTTTGTAGGGCTAGATGACTAGACTCACTTGCGGCTGTTTGTGCTGGATAGTGAAGCGCATAAGACAGGCTACAACTTACAAGGTATAGTCGCAAGGAAACTTCGAGTACCTTATCAATGCCGCTAAACCACATTAGACGTGATATCACCCCATTCCACGCTAAACTTCGCCATTGGCCCACTTCCTGATAAGATAAGCGCTCAATCAGCTTTTGAAGTGCTATGCTCTCGACGACCGCCAGGTCTTCAGACTTGCCCGAATCATGCCTCCTCTACGATCGGCTAGGGCCTCGAAGGCGTGTGTCTCGTGCCGCAAGAACAAAACACGATGCTATACGTCCCAAGGTCCCGGTAGCGGTTGTCTTCGGTGCGCGACACTAGCGCAGCCTTGCTCGCTGGATTCCGAGCCGACGAGCCCTAATTGCAGGTCGAGCTCGTCAACTCATTGCCTCCCGGAACATACTCAGAACACAAGAACCATCGCTCCTGAGGTCAATCAGCGGAGTGCGGTCGATGAGAGGTACTATCTCTTGCTACGCATGTTATCTTCCTGGTATAGAGCATAGTCGAGAGCTAACAGCCATAAACACAGAATCGGCAGACTGGAAAGAACGGTAGAGAGTTTGATCGACCGTCTCGACGCTAAAATCGATGCGCTAGCTAGCCGATTCAACGACAAACCATCCCCAAGGGAAGAACAAAATGCCATTGATTATGATCCAGCTCCTGTGCTCCTCATCAGGGAGGCTGCTTTCGACGCTGGCGTACGCTCACCGGAGCAGAATGAAGTTCGTCCCGAAGCGTATGTCGACCCAATATCTTCCGGGCTGATTTCATCTTCTATCGCCCACTCATTGGTCGAACTGTGAGTGTGCACCCTCAGTGAGATTCGGACTGGCTCCAACTTACACTAGGCTGGTAGATTTCATACCCACTACGGCAGATGGGTGAAGTTTCCAGAGGATCTCTCAACGCCGGCCCTTCTCTCACAAATCAGACGGTCGCCGCTCCTTACGTGCAGTGTCTTGTTAATCGCAGTCCGACACACCACGCAAGACCTTGCGGACAGACTCGCACCTCAATTGTTCCGAGAAGCACAACGCCTTGTCACCTCCTCGTTACTCGTGGTCCCACAGACGACGCCATTCTTCCAGGCGGTCCTGATCCTGAGCCTATGGTCGACGACCATCGGTCAAGTGCCGCTGAGCATCGACAGCTGGCTTTTGACCGGCTATGCTTTACAGCAGGCATTGATTAGCCCGGACTTTATGGAAGTTACGCGACCCGACGCAACTCTCCCAGCCGTACAAGGACATATCGATGCATGGTGTCTTTGGAACCACCTATGCCTGGCCCACTTGCAGCATGCTCCCCCCTTGTCGCTTGTACAAAGCCTACCTTACTGACCTATTTCCCAGATACTGTGTAGGCACCCGCCGCCAGGCTCTCCTGACCGACGTCGATATCGAACGCTGCGCACGGTTTATTCAAACGGCCAGCATCACCAACTACGAAGCCAGAATGATCGCCGAGGTCAAGCTCTACTGGATCATCTACCGCAGGTGTTGTGGGTCGCAACCGGATCTCGAGACCGTGAAACGTGCTCTAGCAACCTGGCAGCAAGAGTTTCTCGCACTGTTTAGTATCTACCCTCCATTTGTCTACTCGCGGTGCGGTTCCTAACAGTGCCTCCAGCGCAACCTCGCTCCCAGTTTCTGCGCATGGGCTTTCATTTCGCCCACCTTCTCGCCTACAGCAACTGCCTGAAATCGGCCTCTCTAAAGGCATCCGCCACCATGACCACCACAACCAGCAGCAGCAGCAGCGCATCCCTTGTCGCCGGAATGCTGCCCCACGCAAAGAACATCATCAACCTCGCCATCGACACCACAGACGACCGAACCCGCCATCTGACGGATCAAATCTACCACCTCGTCACGTTCGCGGCGCTCACACTCTGTCGCCTCGTGCACACCTACGAGTCGAACCTGGGCGCCACGGGCCACGATCTGGACGCTCTGGACGGTCTGGTGGTGAACCTTGTCGACTGGCTGCGGTCGATCGGGCTTCCGACGAGCCACACGGCGTATATGCTTGGCGATATTGTGTTCGCGCGGTTTGTCAAATTGCGCCCACATTCGCGAGTGCTGGCGTCGAGCACCGCCAGGAGAGTTGGGGGGGATGAGGAGGATGTCGGCTTGGCGCAATCGCTTCTCGATGACCGGTCTTTCTCAGATGAGGTTCCGGCGCTTGCGTATCCGGGCTTCATGGGGCTGGAGCTTTTCGAAATGGGGCTGGGCGGGGCGGAGGTGTCGTGGCCGCAATGGGAGGGGGAGATGTATTCGTCGACGTAGGCAGCGTTTTTCGGAGGATTAGACATGTGCGGACATAGAGTGGGAGGGATGGGGAGGGACTTTGGGACTTGTTAGGTGTACTGTGACGAAAATCCCCTCACGGTCCAACCACATCTTCTTATATTTTAGACCGGAGAAGCGGAGAGTTGCGCATCCTCTAGTCTAGAAACTGGAGGATTTGACCAAATCCCCCTTTTCGCTTTCTTTGTTTCTGGGTACATGGTTGTAGGACTTCAGATAAAAGGTACTTCTCCTCAATACAGGCCGTTCACGCCACCCATACTCTCTCAACACCACAACTTCCGGGGCAATTCTCTGTAACAAGTGGCTTTAATTGAAGGTCTTCACATGAGTAGTGGCGATATTAGTTTGATACACCAAGTATATAAGCGCATGGCTTTCTTCCACCTCACCCCATCCATACCATCAACCCATACAAAGTACCAACCTTACAACCGACATTAACCTCTATCAAACACTAGCAACAATGGCTCCCACATGTCACCCTGACCTCCGCAAGTACGCGTACGTGAAGCTCCGAGACCTGATAAAGGCCCAAGTGCTGCTAGAGGAAGTACGCGGCGATGCCGGGACATGCGATCTGTGCCAGACGGGCCGAAGCGAGCACCAAGGCGCGCCGCTGTATGAATGCTCGGCCTGCCGGCACACGTACCACCACCGGTGCATCGACGTGCTGCGGGCGCAGGCGTCGGACCGGGGCGAGCCGCTGGCGTACGGGTGCCCGCACTGCGGCCGACCGTGGGTGACGGTCGCCCTGCTGGAGCAGCAGGCCGGGGAGACGGCCCGGGGCCGCTCCCCGCGCCGCGGCCTCCCCGATTCCGACGGGACGTATGCCTTCACCTTTGGGGCGGCCACGCGCCAGTATCTCTGTAATTGGGAGGACCACGCCACGGGCGGGGTCTGCGGGCAGGGACCGTTTGACACCTTTGAGCACTTCTATCGCCACCATGCCACGGCGCACGCGGGGATCCTCTTCTTCGAATGTGACCTCTGCGAGCCGGTGCGGGGGTTCATGTCGGCGCTGTTGCTCATCCAGCATACCAAGGACGTTCACGGTGGGGATCCGCGGCTGTGCGATAGGCCGGAGCCGTCGGCTTCCCCTAGGGCGACTGAAGGCGAGGCTGTTGATCCTGCTGCGTCACTGGCGGAGAAACTAGAACTTATGGACCTGGACGTGGTCGACAGCATCGAGGACGACGCCATGCACTTGGATGAATAGGTGAGTTGCGGGCTGTGTGGTCACTGTTTCATAGTACAGTACATCTGCCGGCGTAAGAATGTCTGCCGCTGCATATCTCAGTGGACCACAATCTCAGGACGTCTATTGATACTCTGATATCTTTGGTCGCGCTTTGACAAAACTAGAAAAGAAAAGAAAAAAAAAATAACAGCATGGAAAAAATAACCAGGATAAGACAGAATACAAAATCTCCTTTAAAAGAAGGGTATTCGGCAAGGAATAAAATATCGCTCATTTGATCACTTCACCTCCCAAGTCCCGGAAAGTACACCGCTTACACTCATCAATCCGCACACCATCCTAGCATATGTGGCTCGGTTTCCCTGCCCCTTTCCTTTCCGAAGGATTTCATCGTCTTCATTTAGTGTAGATCCATAGATCCACTGTTGCTCGCATCCAACATCAATTGGGGCTGTGGTTTAGTGGTATAATATTCCCTTAGCATGGGAGAGGTCCGGGGTTCGATTCCCCGCAGCTCCATCTCTTTTTGTTTTTTTAGCCATCACCAATAACTGGCGAGGATGGATCTGTGGTCAGATGGTGGGGACGGGTGGTGGGTCTGCGAGCTCTGCTGCGATAAAGCAATTTGAGAGACGGGCGATAAGATTTGCCGGAGAGATTCTTATGTCCAGACACCGCTAGTTGCTATGTCCCTAAGATATAACACTATTTAAGAAACTTTTGTGAGACTTGTCATGGAGGGACTCCATTTTGCTGATGTAGCTCTCTACCTTTAACTACATTCGATACTGTCATCCATAAGACTGTCCGCAACAGAAATGCTGTTTCATTTGTTTGTGTTAGGCTGCCTACTATTATCCTTTCCCCGAAACACGCTAAACAATTTATGGATGTCCGAGGTCGCCCTTACCATTTGAATACAGCCCTGTAGACCCGCCACCTGGCGTCACGATCAACATATCCCCAGTTATACAGCGGCCACCCCATCGCAGACTGTCTTCCCTACATGAGGGTACTGGGACCATCGATCATCGATTCAACGCCGCGCGGCAATTACACGTGATGTTGAAACCGCCAGGATGGTAGGTTTTGGTTGCAACAGCCCGACACTTCATGCAGGTGCTGGTGACTTCAACAGTAGATCCCTGTTGGTAATGCGTCACGACCAAATGATACCCATTTGCCAAGTCACGCTCGCTTCGCAATTGCTGTGCGAGGCCAGTCTGAAGCTCAAGCGACTCCTTGGTTCGTCTCTGCGATTCCCTAGCCCGTCTCACCGACTGTTTCATTTTCCCGTTCAAGATTCGCAGGACTCGAAAAGATGCATCGTGCGTGAAGAGATTGATGCGATTGTCGGTCCCTATAAAATCGTCGAGATGGTCGGTGACGGTCGCTGCAAGCCTTTCGCGAAGTACGTCGTCATTGGCAATCTTGAAAGCCATGTTCACCGCGTCAGCAAAGCCCTCTGGGGACCAGGGCAGTCGCAGCGTCTCGTCAACCTTCTTGTGAACGAGCTCTTTGAGTCCCAGTACATGGTAGTAATCCGCCATCTCGGCCATATGAATGTGTGCAACGAGGTTCTTCGAGAGATCTGCGGCGACGGCAGCAGTGGTGACAGCAGCGGTAGTGGCGGCGGAGGGAGAAAGAGAGGGAGGCAGCACGGGGTTCTGGTCTGAAGGACCCTTATCTGCCATACAAAGAAATTACAGTTAGCCTGATTCCAGCAATGGGAAGTCACAGTTGGCCTCGTGAGAACACACCGGCGTCGGTGGTGAGATCATAGTCTCCGGTATAGAGAAATTGTACCAGGTGGCGTACTGAGGATAGCGGAAACTTTTCAATGCGATAGATGCCGGAACAACCCTCCTTGATAGAAGTCAGTTTTTGTGGTAGTCCGTTCTGATTGGGTGATTTAGATCAGACCTTGAAGCCACCGGCGCAGGCAGCTGCGAATGCTTGTATCTGAGAGCAGACGATCACTTTATGGACGGGAATCTTGACACCGTCACATTCCAGAGCGAAATCGGTGTATTCTCCCATTTTCGCCTTCTTGTAGACAAGCCCGTTGACTGTGTCCTTGTGATCCTCAGGCTCGTGACGCTTGTGGGCCATCTGGACGGACATCTATGTGCAGTTGATCGGATCAGGAGGTGGTAAGGGGAACGTGGGAAGCTATAGAGTGAAAGGTGAAAGAAGGTGATGAGGGGTAAAGGAGGAGACCCGCTCTTTGTCGCTCTTATTCGTCTTAAGTGCTGGCCATGGTGAGTGGTGTGTTGTGTATGTTGTGTTTGTCACGGTGATTGTCAACCTCAGGCATCGATCTCTCGTTTCCTCTCCCAGTTGGCTTGTCACTTTGTCTTCTGTTGTACGCAAATTTGTCGACCTTACATTCGCCTTCCTGGCACTGCTCAGCTCTCTGGCCTGCCTCGCTTCCTCATATTCTTCTTAGTTGCCATCAATTTCACACCCTGATCACCTGTCCAGAACCACTTGGCTAACCAACGATTAAGTCACTATCAACTGGGTCACTGGCGGTGATAAACGTGAGGAGAAAGCATTCAATACGTTTGTAAAACTCCAATCAACATAGGCTCATAATGCGCCTTGACGCTGATCGATGATTTGACGTTGCCAGCTATTCATTGGATCAATTGGACGAGAGGTGAAAGAGCGAAAGTCTGTACCAACGCGAGCTTTCACTGGGTCGGAATGCCTACTCCCTCCAAGACTCGAGAGAACTACATTGAGGATTACACTATGGAGGACAAAAGCGGAGTCTTGGCCTACGTTTGACAATCCCGATCACGGCGCGAGCATGCTCGAGGCTTGTCGCCTCGAAGTGGCTGCAGGGGTAAGCGAGAGTAGTAATTCTCTCGACCCTAAGCCTCGCCTTCCACCCCCCTCCTCGCTCTTTACTTTTTTCTCTCCTCGGCAACATGGCCATAATCATGGGAAATGACCCTAGGCCAAAACAGCCTTTTGCGAGTCATCGACGCCATATACCGTAAGACAAACTCCTTTCTTGCATGCCTCGGAGCCGGATATCGTCTGCCTGGCGGTGTGCGGTCCGTTGCCAGGATTGGGTCTATGATATTTAAGATAATGATTTTGCTCGCGTAGACGCACGGGCACAGAACTCGCCGGTGAACACGCCAGCCAGATTCGACGGAAGATAGTGACCTACCGCGTCAGCTGAGGTACCGCTCCGCACCTGGCAGGGAGTGCCCGATATTCCTTCACCCGAACTATTCAGATTGGCAGTATAGTTAGTGTATAAGACGGGGAGGTTGAAGAAACACGGCGGGAGGAAGGAGGTCGAGTATCCGGACCCGGGAATGATTGTGCTGAGAGGGGTGTAAGCTGCATGATAGCGGTTGTTCATCGACTGGCACTGTAGGGAACTCCTAACCAGAGCGGTCTGATTGATCTTATAAGCGTTATACATCAGGTCCAAGACATTGCGGCTGAGCGGTACGGAGATGTCCGTGCTGCATGCCCCCGATCCGGGGATTTCAAGCGTATAGCACACGGGGCCGCCATCGTCCTGGTCTAGCACCACACCTCCCCAAGTTGAAGCGCATTCCTCGACAGAGTGACCGTTTTGGACAACATACACATTAGCGCTGGCGAGTAGAAGACCGAGCAGGACCTGCTGGATAGGAAGGATGAGCTCGTCGACGAGATTACCGCAGGCCATGTTGGGGTCGACAAAGCGGCCTCCGGCAAAGACTTTAGGCAGCTGGGCAGTGTAGTAGGCCCCAAGTCGGTCACTGGATGTGTCCAGCGCATAGCTGGGGAAGGAGGAGAGATTGCCGGTAACAAAGACTGCATGGGCGACCTGAAAGAGGCTGTTATTGTATTGCTGAACTCCGGCGAGAAAACGAGCTTTCAACGCATTGGCAGGATCGGACAGAAAGGCACTGCTGTTTGTAGAGTCGGTGGGAGTATCAACAGCGGATATTGTACTGAACATCCCGCCGAGCAGTGTTGCAAAGGAGCTGGCGAAGCTGTCGATAGAACCGAGCCCTCTTGTAAGAACAGTAAGTCCCGCAGCTACAGCACCCATGGCCTTGTCCAAACCGGCTTCGTCATTTTGCAGTGTCAGATACCGACTTATATTGTTGGCTAGATCGTCAATTCTTAAAGCGGATATGAGATTATCTCCAAACACATCTGAAGCCATGTCCCGCAGGCACCGCTGAAAAATCGCGAAAGAGCGCTGAGCAAAGAAATATGGCACATGGTCAGTAACCAAGGGGCAAGTTTCAGGTATTGAGCAGGAGCTGTTATCGTTGAGATCCCCACAATTCGTGACATTGACCCCATCGAAAGCGTTGAAGTTGGCATCGAGGTTCGGGAATGTGCTTGTCAGAGCACGGCGAGTTGACAATGAATGACGAGTCGTCTCGAATTCCAACGCCAGCCCAGCTTGACTAGCATACCAGGAGTCCGTGGCCGATACATTCATCATCAACTGCTGACAGCCGATTGTCGCATCTGCACTGTTCCAGGGGATGTATCGCAGAACAGAGGACTTATAGGTACAACTGGTGGTCGTTTTCCCCGGTACCAGTGGCAAGACCTGATAGTTCAGGTTGTAGAATCCATCCCTGCAGAAGCAATCAGGGCATTTACCTCCCGAGGCATGGTAAAGGATGTCGCCACCGGAAATAGGAGCTAGCACCATGAGAACATCGCTCCCGCCATGCACATCCGGACCTTGAGCGAAATTTAGGCCGACAGTCAGATTGCTGGCGACCACCCGAACACCATCACTAGAGGTGATTGAAAACGCCAATTCGCTTGGCTTATAACCTCCGACCGTCTCGTTGAGCACAACCGCCCACTGGGTCGTATTGGAAAATGTCTCGTATCCTGCGGGTTTTTTCCAGAAGGTAGTAGTAAGCTCTTCGATGTCCTCAAAAGGACAGGTGTTATCGAAGGCGGGCGTTTGGTACCATATAACGCCAGCTGCCTCATTCCCATTCTGAGGTCGCATTTCAGATGGGCCCTGAAACGCCCTGAAAGCGGTCGCAAACGAGTGGATCAGAGGCTGCAGGCCTGTATGAGGCCAGATCGTCATATTGGCGTAGTTGTTCAGCGCAGCATCGCCATTCTGTTCGGGCCATAGATTTCCCAGATAGTGTCCCTCGGGACCATCGTTCTATTGAGATTAGTTCTGCATGATATTCTAATATCCAAATCCAAAACAGATGACTCTTACCCAAGTAATGTATTCAACGAACTGCAACGTGTCACTCTGGATGTTCAAAATGTCGCTCAGGCGTTGCATGAGATTCTCTCCACCTTGGCGATAGATATTTGTTCCATACTGCTCATTCTAGTCAGTCTCAAATCTTCCTTGGGTGACTTGATCGTGAAAGTTGCTCATACCGAGTTCTTATACTGCATCAGACTCAAGGCTACTTGACAGTCAGCGAAAAAACCCAGACCGGAGAGGCACATAGGATGACAAACGTATCATGTAGGATGCACCCTGTCTAGCAGCCGCAGCAATCACCACTTGATCACGGGCTACTCCTCCCACACCACCAGTCTGTTTCGAAGCCTGTTGCCCTAGACTTGGCCAGGTAGATTCCCAACTGAAGAGGCCATCGGTGAGATTGCCCCACGCATTCCACCAGCCCGCCTGACTGTCCCAGTAGCCCTCCGTGTCGTCGAGATCTGGGATCCAATACACCTCGAATCCCAGGTCGGACAACGAGGTCTTGAACTGATCCCACGTCGCCCACGTGCCCCCACCTGAGGTAAACGTACTGACCAGGTACTTGCCGTCAACCTGGTAGTACGCCTCGAGCGCCATCGCCTCTTGACACAGGGAAACGTAGTCGCCTGCGCCTGCGCCGCCGCACGATGCCCCTCCCGAGGCATACACATCCATACTGATGAAAATCCCAAATTGGAGCTTCTGCGCCTCGATGTAGCGTCCCATCTCTTGGATTAAGTCCTTGGCGAACGCATCGGTCGGACATTGGACATTCAAGGCGAAGCCATCGAGACCCATCGCGATCGCGTCGTTAACATCCTGATGGATATGGTCCTTTGTGGTGGTGCCGACCTGATTGGGTTGATTAGGGCTTACTCACTCGTGGCTAAGGGGGATGGTATACTCGCCATGTAATGCGCAAATACTGCACGATTCGTAGCCTGAGCAATTGGCACCAGTGCCAGGGTCAGAGCTAGAAACTTTTGAAAAAGGGCCATTGGCATTTTTGTGTTGAAGAAGTGGCTTTCTTTGTTTTATTGTTGATGTATAGTGAGTCGGAGACGGCAAAAGGATAGACGGCAGTTGGTTCGGTTCTGAGACACTAGGAGTAGAAGGATGGAAAGGGAGTGGAGATACAGAGATCCGATTAAAATGAGAAAAAAAGATTGGTGCGCTCGTCCGGACCCAAATGCGGTGGTACCTATCCTGAATTTTTGCATTCAGAGGTTATATGGCAGCGTAGATGGTAATAAGGGTTTCTTTCATCGTGCGGAAGGCGCCAACCCACAAGGATGCTGGGCGAGATGAATCCCTTGTTTAAAGTCTTGAAGAACAACTATCCGCCGAAACGGAAACAGTTCGTAGGTTTCAGCATGCGGCAAAAGCATTGGAAGAATGATGACAGTTGGTGTGCAAGCCAATCACCATCATCCTCCAACATACGCGCCGCACGTGAGAAATGCCCGCATGCTGAACCTCTGGCGTCTAATTAGCTTTGATCTTGCAGACGTCTCAAATTAGGGGAAGATCGTGTCAAGCACAAAAGTCTAGCTCACCCAAAAGCTCATTCGTCCCAAAGCCGGTAAACTTACCCCTTCTCTTATTTGCCTTTTCTTTAGTCTATACCCGAATATAATGATAATTAAGTAATCGTGAAGACAAAAGCTTAGAGCATCAGTATTCATCCGAACTTAACAGGTCAGCTGCTTTGGGGCCCCTAAGTATTTGAAACTTATCCATGTCATCTTGCGCTGCATTGACATGCGTGAGCCCCTATTTAAGACTATTGTCTGGTGCTTTGTGTAATATCCCTTACCACTAATGACATAAATCCTTTAAGCCACAGAACAAAAAAGTTTCAAAGTTGAGAACGCGAGACTATGAAGACGGCTTATAGGTATGCAGTGTCGACTTCTTCCTGGCTCTTCGTCTCTTTACACTCCAAGCTTCCATGTAGCCCCCCTCATCTATGACCTACCGTCTTTTCAGGATATCGAATATCACATCCCATACAGTCTTCCCCCACCCATGCGATAGCATAGAGGTCTATCCTCTCCAGCGCAACGAAGAAAGGATCTTGATCGTGATTCTCACGTGTTGGGGATATGCCACCGACGACTGGCACGCGGCCATGACATCCTGCGTAGGCACTGGTGGCATCAACGACAGGCGCACCCGCATTTCCACTAGGAAAAAAAGGGCGGCGTCCTCATCTCCTCGCAGAATAGTTTGCAGATGTTCGCGAGTCTCCGGACCTGGACTATAAGTCGCTGCAATTTGTGTACCACCGTAGATGGGCGTATCCCTTAACTTCTGAGAACGAAGTATGGGCGGATTTCGAGGAGGATATCCAGGCTTTGTTCCGTGTTTTTGATGAGGATACCTGAGGTGTTCAGACTCTATCTGATCCTTGGGGAAAGGGCAGTAAAGAGTGGCAATTCTAAGACTAAATTGATGCTTATCTAAGGATATTAGCGGAGGGAACACAGTCTTTAGCATTTGTTCGTCAATCAGTGTTTTTGTATAGTCTAGGCGATATATGCAAAACGATCTATCCCAGCAACAGGGAAAATTGAGTATCTCCAGCAATCTGGCTTTGCGGTGCTTGATGGAAAAACGCTTCGGAGTAAGAACTGTGAGTCAAGGCGCTAAAGAGTCGAATGGTCTCTTGAGAGTGGTGAAAATAGAAGCCAGTGGCTGAAAATTTCAATTTCTCGAGATTTATGCTATCGCCTACGTCCCTGTTCTTTTCTTCTCTTGCCTTTTTCCTTTTTTTTTTTTTTTCTGAAAAGATTTCCCTCTCGGGATGACTAACTTATCATGGTCCAATGACACACTCATGGTGTTGGAATATATATCCGTTGTCTAGCGAGTCTTTAACCCAAAAGAAACACAAGACAATTGAACTTACCAGGGCCTAAAAATCGAGGAGAGGTAAGCCTATAATAGACTGCTATACTCACAACTGGTCCAAAAGCAATTCTAACAGATCTTTGAGCAGCGTGATCACCTGCTAGCAACTGTTTCATTTAAAGATATTGTTTCACGTATGTCATTTGCTATTATCTATTTTTCTTGTATACCACCTATAAGGGCTAAAGGGTGAAATAGCGTGATGAACAAATAGCTTTCGCGAAGCCAAGGGTGCCAATATATTACCTTAAAGTGTTGTTGCTGCCTTGCCTAACTTATAAGGCAGCTGCTGCCCTTAGAGGCGGCTGCGGCCGGCTTACTTAGCTGTTATATAACTACTGCCTTAGATTATTTATATATATTTTTTTTTATAAATATTTATAAAAATTAAAAAAGCTGTTTAGATTTTTATAACTATTTTTTTTTTTTTATAAAAAAGTATTACTTTTTACAGTAGTACTATTAAAACCTCTACTTTATAAATACTTTTATAAAAAATTAAAATAGTAGAAAAGATAGTTTATTATTTTATATTTTTATAGGGGTATACTATACTACTTTTATTATTATTTTTATAAGATTTTTTTACTGGTATATAGTCTACTATCTACCAGCTGGTTTTTTTATAATAGCCTATAAATAGCTTTTTTTATAATTAAAAAAACTTTTTTCTAGTAAATAGTATTAAATTTTTTTTAATTTATCTGTTTTAGCTGTTTAAAATACTTTACAGTTAAAACTAGCAGAGCTAATCTTATAAAAGTAAGATTTTTTTTTATATAAAAAGATTTTTTTTTTTTAGGTTTTAGTTTTTTTTTTTCTGTAACTTTTTCTCTCTTTTTCTTTTAGTAAATTTTTTTATATAGTATTTTTTTTTAAGTACTTTTATAAGTTAATATTTAGTTAATTTTTTTTTTTATAATAGTATTTAAAATACTTTATTAGTTTTTTTTATAAGGGCTTGGCCCTATTTTTTTTTTTTTATAAAAATTAACTAATTTTTTTTTATAGTATACTGTTTAAACTCTGTGCCTGTAGACCCTGTTAGCCTATTTTATTTTATTTTTTTTTATATAAATTATTTATAAAATAGATTT